ACACACACACACACACACACTCCCCTCCCTGCGTCCTGGGACTCAGATTGGCTTTCACTAATCACAGTATTATTTGTAACATTGCAACTGATCAAAAATGTTCTTAGTATAAACAGGAATTTTTAAAAAAGATTTTTTTGGAGAAAATTCTCACTTTCTGATTTCTGTACTTACATATCTATTCTTGGCTTATTTTTTGACTCCTATAGAATCACAAAAGTGCTTTTGTCTGATTAAATATGAGGACTGAAATAGAAAATAAGCGTTCTAAATTAGGGTTATACGGCTACTCAGGAAGGCTGTACCTGATGTCAAGCCTTCCAACAATTCTTACTGAAGCTTTAAGACATTTATGAATTCTCAAAAATAATGAAAATAATGAATACTTCATATGAATAAAAAAGCCAAAATACAGATGCCAGACTAATGATGTCTTTTTGCAGCTTGACTAATAAAAGGTAATTTAAGTAGCAAGTGACTGTTAAGGGCAACCTGCCTGTTCAACAGAAGAACACCTAAGAGGATAAGCTAAGCAAACATTTAACTGAGGTTAAATGATACTGAGTGAAAACTTTGCAGAGTTGTCAGTTAAACTTCTCGGTAAAATATTAAAATCGAATTGGAAATAGGAAGACTACAATATATTCTAGCTGTATCCAAGTTGTTTGCTTCTTGAATTTCATTAAATCATTGCCCTTGGAAAATTCACGTTAGTCTCTAAACAGATCCATCAAGTTCCTTGAGTAACAAATGGTCTCTAACTCTTGGTCTGCAATCCATCTAAATACTTCGGATCCATCAATAGCACGCTTAGTGCTCACCCTTTCCTTGAATAGTGAGATCCTCTGCCAGTCATTCCTCCTAAAGGGCAAGTCAGCTTTTATTTCTCTAGACATGCCTTAAGTCTTTCATGACTCTGTCTGTCAGAAGGTCTGTCCTCCTAAAATCCATTAGAGAATACACAAGTAAACACTAGGCAGTGGTGGGTTGTGGAGAAGCTAGCTTGGAAACTGATCTAGATCTTTAGAACGCTGAGAACTGTGCTGGGAAGCAGAGATGCCTCTATCAAGTACCTTCCAAAACAGCCATTCCTACTAGAATCCCTACTAGACTCTCTTCTAGGAAGAAAAATATATTAATAGGTTATAAACAGGGATTTCCCATAGAATAATATTTTTTTCCAAGAAACCTGTTAGAAGGTAACTATTAGGAAAAAGAAAGGGAATCTATATTTCCGTAAAAACGTGCCAAAACCAGTACTGGGAGGCTGAGGTACCCCTTTGCAAACCGTAAAAGTCAAAATCTACATTTCTAAAACAAAGAATATCCTGATATTAAACTGAAACTAAAAATGGCAGCACCCTTTGTTACTTTGATATTTCCTGTCCTTACTCTTACTTAGGAAAAAAAGGGTGTTAACACTAGCCTTAAATCCTGCTTATCTCCTTATTGTTTAGTGCAGTAACAGTCAGACTCTACTTAAATAAATATAGCAGCTACAGTATTGTAAGTGAATGGTCCTCCATGCCAGTAACCTGATACTGTAATATAATACACGTATCGGCACTTTACATAGATACATTAGCCATCAAGAATATACATTAAACTCCCAACTCTTCTTCATATGAAAATCAATTATCTAGTTGCCAAGACTGACGTTTTACAGTCACTCTTGTAAGATACATTATAGAAAAAAGCAGACCAAAATTTAGCATTCATCATATAGTTAGTGAGCAAGGGCAGGAGCAGAAGGGTCACTGTGAGTTTCATGTTTAACTTAAAAAAATTTTTTTTAAACAAAAAAGATTAGAAATTGTATACCAGAAGTGCAACAATAAATAGAACAAATTTCAAGAAGTATTTGTCACTTAGCCTTTTAACTTAAAATCCTAAACACAAGTTTTCTTGTAATTAAGAACCAATGGTAATAAATATACCAATTTGTTAGTAAGCAAAATAGAAATATAATGTACATATTCTTTGACATTAATCAACTTTAAATTAGCAATGCTGAACTAGAGTAAGACCACTCTAAAAAAGAAATCACTCAAAAGGTAAAGCTTTATAATTTAGAAAAAATATTTTTCCTCTTAAAAAAGTCCTTCCAAATAGATTTAAATTAAGTGCTCCACTCTAGCATATATGAGTAACTGAAAATTAGGTAAAAGAATACACAGAGAAAGGGTATACTATTTTCTTTTCTTGCCCATTATCCTGACTGTATTCAGTAAAATTTCAGTGTTAAAAAAACCCATCTTTTATGGGAAATTTTTTTGGAGGAGATAGGAGAAGGCTGGGAGAAAACAATGTATATACTATACAAATATTACCATTTGTAAAGTTCTTTGCAACAGTGTTGTAAATTGCATTTCAGACACTTCAAAGTAATAAACATACAAAATACAGTACTTTCTTAGTTTTCTGGCAGAGGGATAAAAGATTTCATGCCTGTCGGAGGACATAGGCTCAGATTTTAGGCTCAACATACAGTGAACTGGCAATAATAGTGGATTACAGGTAAGACAGAAACTAAAGATCTAAATCCATTAGGTTTCATGTGCAGATGGAATTCTGAAAGGCTAAGAACAATGCCCATTGGAAACAATCTGTAGTATCTATACTCTGAACAGTGCAAAAAAAGGAAAAAAATTAAAATGCAATTTTCATGAGTTACAAAGTGCAAAGCTCCCCTGAATCCAATGTTACTGATAAACTCGGTTTTGATAGCATTATAGTACTTTTTAATACCTTAAAGTGTAATCAATAAAAGTTTTGTGAAACAATTTCCCACATTTCAGTGATTTAACCGATTTAAAATGATTAAAGTCCTACCTTCCTTTGTTACTATCACCTTAATTTTAAAAGGAAAGTTACACTGGTGATACATTAGCAAAAGTTTTAAAATATCATCTTGCATTTTTCTGATTCATTTTAGTAAATGAAAATGGGCATCTAGCCAGTATGATTCTTCAACAAACACAATCTATTTGCAAATAATTTAAATATGCTAAGCTGTTCATGATTATTTCTTAAATAAAAATTCAGCTTTATGTCTAATATGCAAGGTTGGACTCATTTAGGCAATTTCACTTCATTTTCATTATCATTTTTTTTTTTTTTGAGACAGAGATTTGCTTTTGTCTCCCAGACTGGAGTGCAATGGTGCGATCTTGGCTCACTGCAACTTACAAGTCCTGGGTTCAAGCAATTCCCCTGCCTCAGTCTCCTGAGTAGCTGGGATTAGAGGTGCCTGCTACCATGTCCAGCTAATTTTTATATTTTTAGTAGAGACGGGGTTTTACCATGTTGGCCAGGCTGGTCTTGAACTCCTGAGCTCAGGTGATCCACCTGTCTTGGCCTCCCAGGGTGCCAGGATTACAGGCATGAGTTACTGCACCCAGCCTTTATTCATGATGATTTTTAAAAGATATGCTGTAAAACTAAAAATTACAAAACTTTCCTTCTGAAATTAAGGCTGTATTCTTTGCCCTTTTAAATTATGAAGGTGCCTGCTCCTCCTCCTATCCATGGTAAAGATGCAAACAGACACGACTTTCCTTTAAAACTGCTTATTGCACTAAAAGATAGCAAAAACAAGTTGTCAGTTCTTAAAATAACTGTGATTATATTTCTATAAAAGATGCTGCCAACACAATTCTATAATTGTTAAAGCACTATTCTAATAAATATAAAAGGAAGCTATACTTCCAAACACATACATATGTGTTTATATACACACACATACATATATATAAAAAATATATATGAAAATCACATTAAGGTATGAGAGGCAGCAAGTAACTATCAAAAACCAAAAAAATCCCTCAACCCCTTTTTTCTCTCTACTCAATTTCAAAGATCTCAACCCTACAGAGTTCTAATCTTTTAAAATATTTACCCTTTATAAAAGCTTTAAATAATTTCCATGTATAACCTATAGAAACAGAAGGCTTCAGAAAACACATCACTTATCAGAGAGAAAGATTACAACTTCTGACAGGTTTTATATTTATAGCAGCTTTAACAAACTCACTAAAGAAAAAGAATGGTAGGCTGGGTGCAATGGCTTACGCCTGTAATCCCAGCACTTTGGGAGGCCGAGGCAGGCGGATCACGAGGTCAAGAGATCGAGACCATCCTGGCCAACATGGTGAAACCCTGTCTCTACTAAAAATACAAAAATTAGCTGGGTGTGGTGGCGCATGCCTGTAGTCCCAGCTACTTGGAAGGCTGAGGCAGGAGAATTGCTTGAACTGGGGAGTTGGAGGTTGCAGTGAGCCGAGATCGCACCACTGTACTGCAGCCTGGCAACAGAGTGAGACTCCGTCTCGATTAAAAAAGAAAATAAAGAAAAAAGAAAAAGAATAGTTTAGGTTGCTACTACTTATATACACATTGCACAAATGGCAAATGTATGTTCAGAGTGGGAGGGGAGAGACACACTCTCACAAAAACTTATTTTATGTATATATATGTGTGTGTGTGTGTCTGTGTATATACGAATGTATACATATATATAAAATTTTGTTTCTTAAGACAGCAATATCAAGAGTTGAAGACTCAGCATTGTGTATGAGATAGGAGTCAGAAGTAGGGTATGCAAAATAAAAGTAGAAATCTAGTTTGCCATATTTTACATTCAAAGGAACCAGATATGTGAACATTTGAATGTCACTGGTAGCATTAGGAAAAAAGTGTAGGTGATGAAGGCAAGGGAAATAAGAGAAATAAAGGTAGTAGTGGGGGTAAAATAAAAGGGAAAGAAAGCTCCCCAATGGAATGAACTATAAAATATATACACAGACATATATATCTATTATTAATCCAGATCTAGATATATATGCATATGAAGTATGCATGTATATATTTTTAAAATACACAGACACCTTTTACAAGAATATATGAATGCACATTAATTTTTTGCACACATAATTTTGAAAAATCACTTTGATTATTCATGAAGGTGTGTATTTTTTAAACCATCATTTACTTTTCCTTACTTTTTTTTTTTTTGCAAAGATAGTTGTGCTGCCAAGCAACTTGAGGTAAAGGCATTAAAAAGGGTTAGACTACAAGAAATGAAAACAGAACAATTGCGATACTTCCTACAGGAGACCGCACAAAAAGCAGTTGGCTGGTTTCATATTGCATAATGATGCTGTGTTCCTTGATGAAGTAAACAATCTTCCTTGTATTAACATAAGGATCAGACCTTGGCCCCCACACAGTGTTGGTTTCTGTATGGCTGGAGGTGTCCTTACTCAATTGACTCCACTGGAAACATACGTTGTATGTCAATTCATCTTTCAGTACTTCCTCTCAGAGAATATACTTGGACTATTTAAGCAAAGTACATTGTGCGTAAGGTATCTTGGTGAATCTGTACAGCCTTGGCAAGAGCTTGTGGATCTCGCCCATTGCTCTGTCCTGAAACGTGACTTCCTTCAGCACTGTAAGAGAAGTGGCAATGAACACAAAAACAAACTTTCTATTCTGATGTAATAATTCCAAAAAATATGATTTGTTGTAGAAAAATTCAAAATTATTAACAAATAAGAGACCGGTGTAATGATCTATGTGGCTATCACTCAGCTTCAATAATTATTAACGCAAGGCCAATTCTGTTTTCCTTCTCTCGCCTCCCCAGGATTAATTAGAAGCAAACCCAGACATCGTATCATTTTCTCTATCTATCTGTATGTACCACTTTATTACCAATAATCTCTCCTTTGAATTAATGTGGCAAAGCAACTAAGTTACGACGTCATTCTATTAGTAATGAGCCTAGATTATATATTTCAATAGGAAACCTCGAGCAGTCAGTTCTGACTGTTGTCACTTTTCACATGGATCACTGACTCCTCTAAGAGCTTGTGGAACTTGAAAATCCTAATATGCAGACAGTATCTGGATTTGGGTGAGAACCTGTTAGGCTTTTATATTACCTGTCATGTTCTTTGTCCACAAGATGATATCTGGCTCTAAATGCTACCAGGTGAGCATAATACGCTGGTGCAGGTATAGAAACAGATCGTGTACAGCGTACGTAAGTGTGGCAGAGCTGGTAAGTTAGCAGCTGAAGTTCATCTGCAGTAAAGCAGTTATCATCCCATAAAACATGATAGTGTGAAGGACGACTGGTACCCTATAGAGAAGGCAATAACACATACTGTTGAATTTTGAACTTTTTTTGTTTTGTTTTGTTTTTTGAGACAGAGTCTTGTTCTGTCGCCCAGGCTGGAGTGCAATGGCATGATATAGCTCACTGCAACCTCCACCTCCTGGGTTCAAGTGATTCTCATGCCTCAGCCTCCCCAGTAGCTGGGATTACAGGCATGTGCCACCACATCCAGCTAATTTTTTCTATTTTTAGTAGAGACAGGGTTTTGCCATGTTGGTCAGGTTGGTCTCAAACCCCCAATCCCAAATGATCTGCCTGCCTTGGCCTCCCAAAGTGCTGGAATTACAGGTGTGAGCTACTGGGCCCAGCTGAATTTTGAACTTTTAAATAAATATTTAAGACCAAGTCACATACAAAACAGCTTTGGCACTTTGGGAGGTCGAGGTGGGAGGGTAGCTTGAGGCCAGGAGTTCAAGGCCAGCCTGTACAGGCAGGAGGATCACTTGTGCCTAAGAGGTCAAGGCTGCAGTGAGCTGTGACTGCACCACTGCACTCCAGCCTGGGTGACATAGTGAGACTTTGTCTCAATAAATAAATAAATTAAATGAAATAAAATAGAAAAAAGTAAAGCTGGGAAGATGTATAAAAAAGTTGTTAGTCTCTGTGAAATATTCTTGGTTATTTGCTGACTACAGCAGAAGTTTTAAACTGATATCCTAAAGGAAAACTATTCAGGCCAGCCATGGTGGCTCATGCCTATAATCTCAGCACTTTGGAGGCTGAGGTGGGAGGACAGCTCAAGCCCAGGAATTTGTGACTAGCCTAGGCAACATAGGAGGACCTCATCTCTACAAAAAAGATTTAAAAAATTAGCCAGGTGTGGGCTGGGGGAGGTGGTTCATGCCTGTAATCCCAGCATTTTGGGAGACCACGGCAGGTGGATCACAAGATCAGATTGAGACCATCTTGGCCAAAATGGTGACACCCTGTCTCTACTAAAAATACAAAAATTAGCTGGATGTGGTGGTGTGTACCTGTAATCCCAGCTACTTGGGAGGCTGAGGCAGGAGAATTGCTTGAACCAGGGAATCAGAGGTTGCATTGTGCTGAGATTGCACCACTGCACTTCAGCCTGGCGACAGAGCGAGATTCTGTCGCAAAAAACAAACAAACAAACAAACAAACAAACAATAGCCAGGCATGGTGGCATGGACCAGTAGTCCCAGCTAGTTGGGAGGCTGAGGCAGGAAGATTGCTTGAGCTCAGGAAGTCAAAGCTGCAGTAAGGGGTGTTTGTGCCACTACACTCCAGCCTGGATGACAGAGCAAGACCCTGTCTCAAATAAATAAAACAAAAATAGGCCAGATGTGGTGGCTCACACCTGTAATCCCAGCACTTTGGGATGACAAGGCAGGTGAATCACTTGACGTCAGTTCAAGACCAGCCTGGCCAACATGGTGAAACACCCTCTCTACTAAAAGTACAAAAAAATGAGCCAGGTGTGGTGGTGCATGCCTGTAGTACCAACTACTTGGGAAGGTGAAGCAGGAGAATCACTTGAACCCGTGAGACAGAGGTTGCAGTGAGCTGAGATTACGCCACTGCACTCCAGCCTGGGTGACAGAGCAAGACTCTGTCTCAAAAAAATAAAATAAAAATAATAAAAATTTTAAAAGTTAAAAAGGTAAAGGAAAACTGTTCCCTAAAGTTTCTGATTAAATATATAGGAAAAATATTCCTATCTCGAAGATTCATAATGGTTATTTGCATATCAGTGTTCTTCAAAAGTTCTATAATAAAAAAATCTGTTTAAACTGGTTATTCTAGAAATAGAAAAAAAAAATCTGTTTAACAGCATTTCTAAAACTTACTTGAACAGAGAATCTTTCTCCTCTGTGATTTTTAAAACATAGTCACCTGGATGTAATGTGATACTTATTAAATATGGGAGGAAACATTAGGTTAAAATATATAAACCAGTCATATAGGATTTATTTATTAATTTATTTAGAGACAGGGTCTGCAATCTCGACCTCCCAGGCTCAGGTGATCCTTCCCTCAGTCTCCAGAGTAGCTGGGAGTACAGGCACGCGCCACCGCACCCCGCTAATTTTTGTATTTTTTATAGAGATGAGGTTTTGCCATGTTGCCCAGACTGATCTCCAACTCCTTTTGGGCTTTTATTATTTTTCATGGACACATAATATTTACATATACTTACGAGGTACAGTGTAATATTTTGATACACATATATAATGATTAAATCAGGGTAATTAGGATATCTACACCTCAAACATTGTGCTGGGAAAATTCCAAACTGGCTCTCCTGGTTATTTGAAAATATAGAATAAATTGCTAATTATAACCATCCTACAGTGCTATAGAATATTAGAACTTATTCCTCCTATCTAGTTGTAATTTTGTGTCTGTTAACCAGCCTTTGGTAACCTCCTCCCTTTTTTGCCTCTAGTAAACCACTATGTTATTCTCTACTTCTATGACATACACTTTTATAGCTTCCACCAGTGAGATGATGCAGTATTCATCTCTTCGTGCTTGGCTTTTTTCACATAACATAATGTCCTCCGGGCTCATCCATGTTGCCAGAAACGACAGGATTTCATTCTTTTTTGTGGCTGAATAGTAGTCCGTTGTGTATAAATGCCATATTTTCTTTATCCATTTATCTGTTGATGGACACTTAGGTTGATCCCATATCTTGGCTATTGCAACAGTACTGCAATAAACGTGGGGTTGCACATATCTCCTTGACACAGTTTCCTTTCCTTTGCATATATACCCAGTAGTGGGATGGCTGGATCATATGGTAGTTTTAATTTTAGTTTTCTAAGGAACTTCCATACTGATTTCCATAACGGCTGTACTAATTTAGATCCCCACCAATAGTGTATACAAGTTCCCCTTTCTCTGCATTCTTTGTGTTTTTGATAATGACTATATTAATTAGGGTGAGATGATATCTCATTGTGATTTTAACTGGCATTTCCCTGATGATTATTGATATTGAGCAGTTTGTTTGTTTTTTTTTGACACAGAGTCTTGCTCTGTCACCAGGCACCTGGCTGGAGTGCAGTGGCATGATCTAGGCTCACTGAAACCTCTGCCTCCCAGGTTCAAGGAATTCTCCTGCCTCAGCCTCCTGAGTAGCTGGGACTACAGGCGTGCGCCACCATGCCCAGCTAACTTTCGTATTTTTTAGTACAGACGGCGTTTCACCATGTTGGCCAGGATGGTCTCGATCTCTTGACCTCGTGATCTGCCTGCCTCAGTCTCCTAAAGTGCTGGGATTACAGGCGTGAGCCACCGCGCCCGGCCATCGAGCATTTTTTCATATACCTGTTGGCCATCTCTATCACTCTCTTGAGACATCTGCCCATTTTTAAATCAAATTATTTGTTTTTTTTTTTGGCTGTTGAGTTCCTTGTATATCCTGGGTATTAATACCTTGTTGTTGTTTTTTTGAGACAGTCTCAAGAGTCTTGAGAAAATAATGTATATTCTGCAGCTGCTAGATGAAATGCTTTGTATATATCTGTTAGGTCCATTTGGTCTAAAGTGTGTTTTAAATCCAATGTTTCTTTGTTGATTTTCTTTCTAGATGATCTGTCCAGTGTTGACAGTGGGGTGTTGAAGTCCACAACTATTATCGTATTGGAGTCCATCTCTCTCTTTAGATCTAATAATACTTGCTTTATATTATATATCTGGATGCTCCAATGTCAGCTGCATATATATTTACAACTGTTATTTCCTCGTGGTGAACTGATCCCTTTAGCATTATATAATGACCTTCTTTGTCTCCTTTTACAGTTTTTGACTTAAAGTCTGTTTTGTCTGACATAAATATAGCTACTTCTGCTTGCATTTTTTTTCCACTTGCGTGGAATGAATAACTTTCTCCATCCCTTCACTTTTAGTTTATATGTATCTTTACAGGTGAAGTGAATTTCTCTTAGGCAGCATATATTTGGATCATTTAAAAAATCAGTATTTTAGATGTGAGAGGTACATGTGAGATTTGTTACATGGATATATTACACCCAGATGGTGAGCTTAGTACTCAATAGTTTCTCAACTCATCCCCCTCTCCCTCCTCTTTAGTAGTCCACAGTGTTTTATTATTCTCATGTTTATGTCCATGTGTGCTCAATGCTTAGGTCCCACTTAGAAGTGACAGCATGCAGTATTTGGTTTTCTGTTCCTATGTTAGTTTGCTTAGGATTATGACCTTCAGCTGCATCTATGTTGCTGCAAAGGACATGATTGCATTCTTTTAAAAAAATCATTCAGTGGCTGGGAATGGTGGCTCATGTCTATAATCCCAGCACTTTGGAAGGATGAGGCAGGTGGTTTGCTTGAGCTCTGGAGTTCAAGACCAGCCTGGGAAACATAGGGATACCCCATCTACAAAAATACAAAAATTAGCCAGGTGTGGTGATGCATGCCTATAGCCCCAGTCACTCAGGAGGCTGGGACAAGAAAATTGCCTGAGCCCGAGCCTGGGAGGCAGAGGTTGCAGTGAGTTGAGACTGCACCACTGCACTCCAGCCTGGGCACCAGAGTGGGAAAAAATTTCATTTAGCCAGTCTACATCTTTTCAGTGGGCAATTTGTTTACATTCAAGGATACTACTGATAGCTGGAGACCTACTTCTGTAATTTGTTAATTGTTTTCTGCTTGTTTTATATATCCTTTCTTCCTTTCTTACTGTTTATCATTGTGGGTTGGTGGTTTTCTGTAGAGTAATAAGGTTTGAATCTTTCTCTCTTGTGTATCTGTTCTACCAGTGAGTTTTATACTGTTGTGTGTTTCCATAATAACAATTGTTGACTTTTTGCCTCCAGATGTAGGATTCCCTTGAACACTTCCTGTAGGGCAAATATAGTGGTGATAAATTTCCTCAGATTTTGCATGTCTGGGAAAGACTATTTCTCCTTCATTTCTAAAGGACAGCTTGGCTGGATATAGAATATTTGTTTATTTATTTAAAGAATATTTATTTATTTACTTATTTGTTGAGGCGGTCTCAATCTGTAGTCCAGGCTGGAGTACGGTGGCACAACCACAGTTCACTGGAAACTCTGCCTTCTGAGCTCAAATGATACTTAACTGGCTACAGTATTCTTGACTGATAAGTGTTTTCTTTCAGCACTTTGAATATATCAACTCAATCTCTCCAGGCCTATAAGGTTTCTGTGAAGAAGTCTGCTGTTGGTTTAAGGAGGATTCTAAGTGATCTGATGATTTTCTGTTGTTTTTAGAATTCTGTGTCTTTGACTTGACAATTGGACTACAATGTGCCTTGGGAAGAACATTTAAGGGCTGGGTCTGTTTGCAGACTTTTGAACCTCCTAGATCTACATGTCCACATTTTTCCCCAGATTTGGGATGTTTTTAATTATTATTATTATTATTATTTTTGAGACAGGGTCTCACTCTGTCACCCCAGGCTAGAGTATAGTGGTGTGATCTAGGCTTGCTGCAGCCTTGACCTCCCAGGCTCAAGTGATCCTCCTGCCTCAGCCCACTGGGTAGCTGGGACTACAGGTGCATGCCACCATGCCTGGCTAATATTTGTATTTTTTGTAGTGATGGTGTTTCACCATGTTGCCCTGGCTGGTCTCAAACTCCTGAGCTAAAGCAATCTGCCCCCCCTTGGCCTCCCAAAGTGTTGGGATTACAGGTGTAAGCTACCATGCTCGACTTGTTATGTCATTAAGTAGGTTTTCTACACTTTCCCTTTCTATTCTCCTTCTGGAACTCCCATAATACAAATATTTATTTGCTTACTGGTGTTCCGTAAGTCTCAGAGGCTCTCTTCACTCTTTTCATTCTTCTTCTTTTTTTTTTTTTTCTGACTCAGATCTTTTTCCAAATTACCTATCTTCAGGGTCAGAGATTCTTTCTTCTGCTTGATCAAATCTGCTATTGAAGTTCTCTATTGTATTTTCCACTGAATTCTTCAGCTGCAGATTTCTGTTTGATTCTTTTTAAATTTCTATCTTTTTGTTGAATTTCTTGTTCATATTGTGAATTACTTTCCTGATTTTGTTGAGTTATTGATATTTTCTTATATCTCAATATATTTGGGCTATCTCAATATCTATGGGATACAGAGCTGCTCAGCTCTTCCAGTACACCAATTCCCCAGTGCCACTTAAACCCAGGCATGGGGACTATGCCTGTTCTGGGTGGCCCAGACATGGTTTCCTTGATATGCAGGGAACTGCTTCAGCTTAGGTACTGGACTGTGTGACTGCTCTGGGTGATTAAGGCACTGCTTTCTGAGATGCAAGGTACTACTTAGGCACTGGAGAGGTATGATCTCTCTCTCTTTTATTTATTTTTTTTAGAGATAAGAGTTTCGCTCTGTTGCCCAGGCTGGAGTGCAGTGGTGTGACCTCTGTTCACTGCCAACCTCCGCCACCCGAGTTCAAGCAATTCTCTTGCCTTAGCCTCCAGAGCAACTAGGACTACAGGCGTGTGTGCCACCATATCTGGCTAAGTTTTTTGTATTTTTAGTATAGATGGGGTTTTGTCATGTTGGCCAGGCTGTTCTTGAACTGACCTCAGGTGATCTGCCCTCCTTGTCCTTCCAAAGTGCTGGGATTTCAGGTGTGAACCACCATGCCCGGCCAAGGTATAACCTCTTTAAGTGGCCAAGGAGCAAGGTGTAACAGGTGCTTGCAGCTCAACAGGGATGTCAGGCCACTGGGTTGGGGTAATTTGGTGACAGCCTCAACAATAAAGGGGTCATGGCTACTTGCCCCCGGAGCAAAACATACTCCAGCTATATAGTTCCTCTATAGGCACATGTTACCTTGCCTGGGGAATTTTTGTTTTTTTGTAGAGATGGGGTTTCTCTATGTTGCCCAGGCTGGTCTTGAACTCCTGAGCTCAAGCAATCTGCCCATCTCAGCCTCCCAAAGTGTTGAGATTTTAGGCATGAGCTACCACACCCAGCCCAATTAAACTCTTTCACATGCTTAACACCTACCAGTAAATGTCAAAGTTTTCTATAAAATGTTACCATCATTAGCTGAGTGCAATGGTACATGCCTGTTGTCCCAGCTACTTGAGAGCTGAGGTGGGAGGACTGCTTGAGCTCAAGAGTTCTAGTACAGCCTGAGCAAAAGAGCATTTTTTTTTTTTCTCACTCTTTATTTTTAAAGAGGCATAAAGGAACAATCAGGTACTTCTACTTTTTTTTTTTTTTTTTTTTTTTTTTT